CTGCATGAAGCCCAGGACAGGAGCCCCAGCTAATCCTGCCCCAGTCAAGCTCCGCCGGACCTACCCTCACTGACAAGGCTGTGTCTAGGACGCCTGCCTGTCACCTCTGCCTCCCCTCCCTGCCGGGACAGACAGGCGAGGCCGCAGCTGCCTCCCGCCCCTGGCATCCTGGCAGGAAGAACACCGCTCTGGCTCTGCACCCCCTTTCTTTCCAACCCTCCCTCTGTGGGACTCGTGCATCGATATCCAGCCCTCCAGAGAGCCTGCGAGTCACCATCCACTTTTGATTATCTGCGTGAATCCCAGGAGGCTGGGGAGCAGGAAAGGCACTCGTGCTACACCGGTTCTCTTGGCCATGGTGCGGTCTGAGACTGTCAGGAAAGCTGGTCGCGCTTTTAATGAATTCGCGCCGGCAACCCCAGGCCTTCCCGGCAGAGGAGAGAAACTAGCCCAGTCCCCGCAGAATCCCCAGAGGCCAGCAGGCGCTCTGCCCAAGAAGCTGGCCTGGCCTCTGTCCACGTGGGGACTTCCTGCTCTGAGGAGGCCGTTCTGGACAGTTCAGCGCTGTGGGGGGGACAGCCTTCAGGCCGCTCCTGGGTGTGGGCGTGAGAACACCCTGCCCTAAGGCCAGCCCAGCTGGAGATTATCATGCTTTGGGCTGGATTAGGGGGGCAGGCAAGCCGTGACCTCTCTCTCAGCCTTAGTGTGACCAGGCGCTCCCCGACGTGGGAGAGGAAGAGAGGACGAGAGCCTGACCCGGGAGGTGTGGAAACCAGGCGTGGGGTTCTTGCAGGCTGCCCACCTGGGGACCCACCTGACACCGTTCTTTGGAAAACTGCCAGTCCCTACAGGCTGTGTTTCCCGGGATTTTCTTTGGCTCTCCCTGAGGACTGGGGAAAGTTCTTCCCGAAGATTCCTGCCTAACTGTGATGTGAGAGCGAAGCCAAAGGAAGGGCGTCTATTCACTCTGGGCCGAAAGGGGAAGCAGGTGGGACTCCCTGGAGGCAACGCGGCAGGGCCGTGGGGTGGGGAGGAGAGGGGAAGGTGAGGTCCGGGCAGAGCACCCTCCGCTCAGAGCACCCCTTCTCGGTGGCCCCGACCAGCGATTTGGCCACTCTGGGAGTCTGACGCCCACCCACCTTCAGAGCGGAAGAGGGTTTTTACTAAGCCTGGCCTTCCTGAGCCTCAGACCCCACTCCAGGAGGTCCCGAGGGGTGGATTACTAGGGGCTGGGCTCGGGGCCCCGGTCTCCACCGGGATTTCTCCCGGGAGGGCCACGAGGCAGGGTGCAGGGCTCTGTTCCCGGGGCAGCATGGGCTGGTACAGCAACGCCCCCCATCATCCCCCACCCGCAGCTCCACCCAGCCTTGCCTCCGCCCCCCCTGCTAGGCCCTGCAGGAAGGAATGACACCCACCGCCCATCAGGCCAGA